CAATTTCTGAGATTTAGGGGAAATGTATGTAATTTCGGCCTAAGTGTCCCTAATTTGGGCCCATACAAAAATTCAGCAATCGACTGAATTTTCAATAGCAACCAAACATATCCATTAGTACCGTCCCAATGACGCGTTTATCAAAATACAATTGATAAATAGCAGATTTTTAGCGATGGGCCCAATCTTAGATCCATAGGCCAACATTAGAGCCTTTTCCCCTATATCACACAAGTTATTTTAATTAAGTAATGAAATTGGGTTGTTAGCGGAATGCATAAATAAAGCAGCAAAAAAAGGTTATCTTCCATTCAATTCCACTTAATTAATTTTGGTATCCATGACAGATACGTATTTCGACTACAATGTGCAGTCTTCATCAGTGTCATTCCCACTAAAGAACTAAACAAAAGGTGCACTTAGATTTTTTCGCAAACAAACATCTCTTACAAACGTCCCTTACCGATGATATGTGCTTACCTCTCAGTATGTTCAAACTTTCCTATAAACAATTAAATTGACTGCAAAGTCGCTAAACCGTAAATCAAAAAGAACTTAACAAAATCAAACCCCCCTCCCCTAAGTACTCATCCCATAGGTAAAAAAATCAAGAACACAGGTATAAAAATGAAACTACAACCAAAGATTTAAGTAAACTAAAGGAGACAAATCTATACAACTCTTTAATAAGGAAAATCCCAAAGGTTTGGTGGCCATCATAATCAAAGCTAAAGGTGGCCCCTAACAGTTTCAGTTACCTACTCTGAATAATGATTTCGGATCAACCCGGGTTTATTCAATTGGATGATTTGTGACAGGTTATGACAGACCAAAGCCGGCGAGAGAGAGAGAGAGAGATAGATAGAGAGAGAAGGGTCAAAATATTAGTTATATTTCATATAACCTTGTTGACCGACACTACCACTACCACCACTCATCGCTGGCCAGATCCTTGACACCCAAAACATTGGCCGCTTTCCGGTAGAATTTGTAGCGTCTCTTCGCAGCAGGGTGCTCCGGACCCCCTTCTATGGGGTTAATCGCCTTGGTAGTCATGCCGAATTTGTTCTGCTTAGGGCCGCCTTCCGGACGGACTACCTCTTCCCAGTACCAAACCGAAACGCGCATCGACAGGTCCGGATCTTTGGACACCAAAGCCGGATTATGAACCAGTCGATCATTCCCGAAGAGCGCCCGCGAAGCCTTCCGGTAGTTGTCCTCCCATGTCAACTGTATAAATCCACGTCCAAAGTATCGCGTTCCGTATTCCTGACCGGCACCTCCGCCATCCTCCTCTCGATTCTGGAAGCCACCGCTCTCGTGGATCAGTTGCGCCAGAAACATGGCTATTTCGTTCCAATCTTTTGTGAAATCATTGATCCGGTTGACAATAATCGAGGCCAGACTAGATGTGATCGAACTATATCCGCATTCGGATAAAACTGCCTGAAGCTGCGACGTCGACAGTCCACAGCCCATGGTTGGATGAAAACTGATTACTCGGATGTCTGCAAAGTTGCTAAATACTAAAAGTCTGTTGAGAAATTGGCTTACAGGTGGTGTAATTGATAAATCATATCATATCATATCTGAGTAAATACTTATCTATTTAGCAAAAACGACACAAATAGTTTTGATTTCTTGGAAACTTAAATCCGGCGACGATTATCGAAATAATGGTGAGCAAATTCGTCGAATTCATATAACAAAAAAAAATCTCACATCTCCAGTTGACTTTATTGCACGGTTGCACTACTTGGTGAAATTATGTACTATAGTGTTTCGTAGGGTGCGATAAGACGTCATTTGAAAAGAGTTGTACAATATCATAGTGATGGTCTTTTTGAATGATGGTTTGCTAATATGTACAGGGATGAAGTAATGAAATTGGGTTGTTAGCAGAATGCTTAAATAAAACAGCAAAAAAGGTTATCTTCCATTTAATTCCACTTAATTCATTTGGGTATCTATGACAGATATATATTTCGACTGAAATGTGCAGTCTTCATCAGTGTCATTCCCAGTAAAGAACTTATCAAAATCCAACCCCTTTTGTACTCATCATTTTTAATAATGGAAAGTTTCATTCAAATCGGAAAAGGTCGTATAAGCACTTATACGCATTTTTTAACTGTTAACACAAGTAGTTGCAAATAGTTAAACGTGCCCCTAAGGTTTGTTTATTTTAATGAGTTATGATTTTTTTTTAGCAGTGCTTCGATCTTCTCCAAAAATTTTAATTTTCTATAATATCATCCAGTGATGTGCATATGAAGGCTAGTTAGAGTGATTGCATAGAAAATTTCGGTCACACTGATTTTCCGTAAAATTTACTTGCCCCATATGTTTGCACCGCATAGGGTAAAATGAAATGAGCAAGTTAAAATGGATGAAAAAATCAGTACAGTTGTTTGGCTAAAATCCCGGAAATAGTAAAAAAAAATATGCACATTGGTACTCAAGAAAACAATATAATTTCTAGTTTGTTTAAAATTGAAAAAAGGAATTTGAGTATTACAGCTTTAATTGATTGTTGCTCTATCCAATCAATTAAAATGTTTTTCATTGTTAAAAATTAATATAACGCATCAATGTATCATGCTTCATTCGTGCGCTCTTTCATCATCAACTTCGCGTGTATCCCTTCGCATTGCTCAATTTTGGGCAATGAGAAGTCGGATTCACTTGCGAAGGTGGGTAAGGCGACATTTATGATCGACAAATCGCCTATGGTGAATTTTTCTCTATTTATCGTCAGCAGTCGCTCGTAAGCTGGCAACATCATCCATTGAAGGGAGCTTGGGACGATGGCTACATTCAATTATCCCTAAGGTGCCGAAGTTTGCATGGTTCAAAGCGTTGGACTTGGGTCGAGACTTCATACGCGTGATGTCTCGTCTCATGTCCAATCTAAACGCTCACTTGATCCGTGTTAGGCTGGGGGACAGCAATCTCTGTGAATGTGGAATTTTCAGAAATTTCTCAATACCTCGGAGTAGAATAGACTTTCTCTCTGAGTTATTTATTCTCAGTGGCCGTGAACTGTTATGGTGTCCTTTTTGATTAGGTCGTATGTAACAATTTTGTCAATTGGAGAAATGATGTGCACAAAAACTTTTCTATTTTCAATTAAATAGATAATTCCTTCAAAATTCCCATTTACTCAGGAAAGGATCTCAGGAGAGCTTCTATCGACTGAGTATGGTATTGATAGCGTTCATGTTAAAAAAAAAACAAACGGTTTCAACCAATCAATATTATACGACTTTTTGCATGCCATGCCGTTACATTCAACCGTGCGGATTTTAGAGGTTTAAAAATATATTATAATGAGTAGTTATCATTTAATAGACCACCCACAACCGTTTTACATTGAAGATTTGCTAAATCAACAGGTACAGTTTTTACACTTCTGCATAATTTGTTCAATACGAATAGAAGCTAGGTATCGTATGTCACATTGAGCTATGTTTTGATCGGCTGGCACATAGGTTTATGATCTAATTTCCGTCCTACTAAGCACAACTCGCGCTTTACCTCTCTTTTTGAACGGGTTTGAACAAAAAATGTTCCATACGTTCCGTTGGATTTGATAACAAGTCACACATTGTTGAGATATTGTTTAAAATTTCATACTGCTGTTTGATTCTAAATTCGTCCAACGAGTTTCAATTCCGTCCTAACGCATTGAAACGCCATTATATTTCCTTCGTCCTACGAATAAACGTAGAAAAAGGGGATTAGCTAGGAGCGCTTCTTTTGTTTTGAGAATAGGATTTATGTTGTAGCATCGGAACAAACCTATTATTGATTTGTGCACAGTGAAATCATTGATATTATTGATCTTTTCTGATCGATAGAACGGGAATGGGCGGTTACGACGAAGTAGCGCTCTACCCTACGACAAATCAGTGTCAACATTTCAAAGGGGCGTAGTTGCTTTTGTAAACAATGGCTTTAGCCGTCAATTTCTCGCGAATAAAATCTCAAAAATAACAATGCTTGCTGGTACATAAAATATTCCTCTACCTGATGGTGTCATTATTTTTCATGGTCGAGCTTTTATTCGCGAGAAATCGACGACTAAAGCCATTGTTTACAAATGCAATTATGACTACAATTTGCAGTCTTAATCAGTGCAATAATGTCAACCGGTGATGTAAGATTTATTTTTATTTTATTACAAGCTGATTGTACTCGGCCTTGCTCAATATTAGCTTGAGTTTATGCGTCAATATAAAAAAGCATGGTATATAGTACGTAGCCACCCCCCCCCCCTTTTATCTAAGGGGCTACCCTCTATGACCCCACATGTCAAATTTGGTTCCATTTGCTTGATTAGTTCTCGAGCTATGCAGAAATTTATGTTTCATTTGTATGGGAGCCCCCCCTTAAAGAGGGAGGAGGGGTCTCGAATCATCATAAGAACCTTTCCCTGCCCCAAAAACTCCTCCTTAAAAAATTTCACGCCGATCGGTTCAGTAGTTTCCGAGTCTGTAAGGGTCGGACAGACAGACAGACAGTAATTCATTTTTATATATATAGAAGATAGAAGATAGAAAATTCGACCCATGTGCGCACCAAAATTTCGATTATGTATGTTTACACACTTAGAAATTATCGCCGACTTCGGTAATTTTTATCGGAATCTGAACAGCTGAACTTTTCGGTAAAATATATGCAATTCAATTCAGTTGCTTTTTCGCTATTTTGAAACTAAATCTCCACTAAAATGACAAGATATGATCTTTTAAACAAGGTTCTGATTTCGGTAAAATTTACCGAACACGAAACCAAAATCTTAGTGTGTAAGTTTCCAAGAAATCACAGCTATTTGTGTTGTTTTTGCGAAATAGATAAGTATTTACCCAGAACCCAGCGCAATTGATATGATTAATCCATTTTCACCCCCGTAAGCTAATTTCACAACAGACTCTTAGTATTTAACAACGGTGCAGGCGTCCGAGTAATCAGTTTTTATTCAACCATGGTTCTATCAACGTCGCAGCTTCAGAGCATTTTATCCGCTTGCGGATTTAGTCCGGTCGATTCTAGTCTGAGCTCGATTATTGTCAACCAGATCAATGAGTCCATGCGTGATTCGAACGAAGCGGCCATGTTTCTGGCGCAACTGATCCACGAGAGCGGTGGCTTCAAGTATCGTAAGGAGCAGAGCGGAGGTGCCGGTCAGGACTACGGAACTCGATACTGCGGACGTGGATTTATACAGTTGACATGGGAGGACAACTACCGGAAGGCTTCGCAGTCGATCTTCGGGGATGATCGACTGGTCCAAAATCCTGATTCGGTGTCCGACGATCCGAACCTGTCGATGCGCGTTTCGGTTTGGTACTGGGAGTGGGCAGTCCGTTCGGCCGGCGGCCCTCAGCAGAACAAATTCGGCATGACTACCAAGGCGATTAACCCAATGGAAAACGGTCCGGAGAACCCTACTGCGAAGAGACGCTACAACTTCTACCAGAAAGCGGCCAATGTTTTGGGTATCAGGAATCAGGCCAGCGATGCGTGGTGGTAGTGTTAGTGTCGGTCAACAAGCTTATATGAAATATAATTGAATATAGCTATACATAGCTGCAACAACATTCCCTGTTGTATTTGATGATTTGGACGATGGATAAAAACCTCCTTTACCAAGCTAGGTGGCAAAAATAGCACGAAAACTGTTTTCATAGCCGTGATTATCAAAAGAGAAAGTCGATGAAGAGCATCGATCAAAGCAGATAGGCCCTTTTTTCAGCTCTGTATAGATATATTGAAAATTTCGTGCAGATTGGTAGTGTTTTGTGTCTTTCTATACTTTATCAAACAATCCAAAATGACATGACATGCATAAGAAACCATTCGCACCCATTTGAATATGCACTTCAAAAGTCTCAGAAAATTATTATATTTATTTTTATATTCCCCACACAATCACATAAACTTATCAGATGTTCAACTGATTGCACAATGACTCAAACAAACATCCACAACACAGAGCTATACCGCTAGTATTTTAAGTTCCAGTAGAGTAGTACACAGGCGAAAGAGTACGCGTTTGAGCGCATATACTGTCTGCGGCTGTGGAGTAGTTCTAGTGACGTTTATCACTACCCAAAGCGTGGGGCTTGGCGAAAGCATTTTTTGGCATTTTAACATTTGATGCCTACATACGCGCGCGCACTTGGCTTTATCAACTCGACGCGAAGTCTGGCTGGAGGGATTCAGCAGGGTCGCAGAGCAAAATTGTAGTTAATCGTCTGAAGGGTCGATAAGCTAACTGGGGACTCCCAGCAGGTTCGAGCTTCAGAATAATGGTCGCTCTTTATTGAATAATACTTCCTTTTTATACAGTTTGGTTTTCAATAAATTGCGTGTGTTCGAAAGAATAATTAATTAATAGAGTGAGACGGCTGGAGTGACATCAAATTGCTTAGCCTAGCTTTGCTTTGCAGCCCGGGTAAGTTTTTTTTAACTAGTTTTTTTATTTGTAAGGCTCAATCGCGTTAGCTTTATGGAGCCGATAATTCATTGTTCTTTGTTTGTAAAAAAATTCACTTAATTCTATGTCTAGTAGAATTTGGGCCGAATACTCGCGGCTTACTCAAGGTTAGAGAGGTACATTGTCGAAGGATAGGATCAGGGGAGGAGCTTGGGGGTAAGTTTTCGTTGTCTCATCAGAGCGTTGTCTCCAGTATGAATGGTAGTGCGGTAAAATTTTCTAAATTTCTGGAACTTTTGTGCTCTCGCAATTTTTATGGAATTAGAACGAAATAATTAATATAGTTCTATGATTTTTAGAACGACATAATTAATATAGTTCTCAAGATTTTTCTGGTGTTCATAAAACTTCCCGTAAATTATCGACACTAATTTAAAACTTCTTCAATAGTCTAGACTTTCCTGATGCCTAAACGATTACTGAATTTCTTTCAAGTTCTGTAGACTTCCCTGAATTTATCAATATTTCTTAATAACCCGCAACTTTACTGAAAGTAATTTATATTATACCATTATTAAAATTCGCTTATTTTCCCTGAACTTATCTATGCTTACCTTAAGTTATCTAAATTTGTTTAATAATCCAGCAAATCTTCTGATTTATATTTATAATTCCCTGACGCTACTGACGTTTTAGGATCAATCATAGAATTCTTGGAATACCCTATAATTCCACGGAACTCCTTGTAAGTCGCTGCAAATTTGCTTAAGTTAATGGGATTATTCTGAAGCTATTTAATCTCGAACTACTCGGAACTTTGCTAAATATCATTAAATTATCTTAAAATATGTAAATTTGGTTCTCTGGAATTTCTTGAAGATATCGCTGCTTGCTAAGAGTTGTCGTTTTTTTTATTATTAATGGAACTTCGCATTTTTTAATCGCATTTTTTTTAAGTTCTTGAAATCTCCACGATATAACACCCTTAAAATACTCTCACGTTTTCCGGATGGTCATAAAATTTCCAGGAATTCAGAAGCTTTGCTGAAGCTTTCGGAAATTCACTGAGTTTATCGAAACTTCATTAAGTTTTCTAATATTTCCTTGAAATTTTTTGAACTTCCCTTTGATTCTCTGACCTGTCTTGATGTTCTCGAAGCTTCCATAAAGCTCTTAGTTCTATTGAAGATCTCGGTTCTGCTCAATAAATAGAATTCCCGTAAACACCTTTAAATTTCCCTGAAATTCTATGGACTTCTGTGAAGTTTCTGAAATATTTTTGAAGTTTTCATATATTCGCTGAAGGTCTCTGTACTTCCCTGAAATTTGTGGAACATCTCAAGGGGTTTCTATTTGTTTTTCAGCACATTATGGAACTATCTTGAATTTATCTAAATTTACGATTATAGATTTTAAACTGCCCAAAAGTCTGGACTATAGCTACGGGAACTTCTCTTAAGATCTGAAATTCCCCAAAGATCTCTAGATCTAGCTTTTCTGATGTGCTTAGAACTTCTTAAAAATTTGCACAATACCCTTCAAGTTCTCTAAATTTCTCAAGTTCGCTTGACACCTGTGAAGATCTCTGAAATTCTAGGAACTTTATAAAAGTTCCTGAAAAGTCTCGGATGCTAAAAGAACCGCTTTGAGGTTCTTACAGTTTCCAGTAAGTTTTCCATATTTCCCCTCTGGAACAGTGCAAAATTCCAATCATAATTTTATAGATTTTCTTCCAACAATAAACTATACCTTAATCTTTGTTAGCCATTCTTCGAAGGTTCAAATAAAGAGCGTCAGAAACCAATAAGTGGACAGAATAATGAATTAATAGAAAGGGATTCTGTTCTAGCTGGTTATGTTTCTGGCACAAGGAAGGACACTGAAGTGTTACTAAGGACGTGGCTACATCTGAATTCCGTAAAAGTAACGTATAGCTTCGCAGGATATCTTCAATGAGGTTTGGCTTATTCTCAACCGGATTTAATGTCCGACGATGCGAACCATACCGAAACGTGTTGGCAGTATGTAGTCCGTGCGTTAATTGTATCTTCATATATTTAAACAGTCCTGAATGCCAGTCATGTAGCCGTTCGAACGCCAGGGAAATCTAGAACCGCACTACTGTTCATACTGGTGAAGACGCTCTGATGACACAAAGAAACCTCACCCCCAAGCTCCTCCCCTGATCCTACCCTTCGACAATGTACCTCTCTAACCTCGGGTAATCCACGAGTATTCGGCCCAACTCCTACTAGACATAGAAATACATAAATTTTGCTACAAACAATGAACTATGAATTATCGGCTCCGTAAAGCTAACGCGATTGAGCCTTCCAAATAAACGAACTAGATAAAAAAAAATGCCAGTCATGATTTGAAAGCTTCCCTTCTACCAACGAGCCAGACCACAATGTTTGCTTCCGTTCTTGAAAGTCAAGCTTCAAATGACAAGCACCAGGATTCCCCATCTAACCCCGTTTGAATAAGCTCTTCTAAAGCCTCGGAAAATCCTATTTTCATGTTCTGCTGCCGACAAGCTTAGTCACATAAACTTAACAGCTTTTCAACTGTTTGCACATTATTGCCTTGTCGATAGAGGTCACAAACATCCACAACACTGAGAGGCCGTCTGTCCCGCTCTCTCTCTCTCGCCGGCTTTGTTCTGTCGTCAGAGTATAATTGCAATCGACCGACCAAAACTGGAGCCATAACCTGTCATAAATCATCCAATCGAATAAAACATTTCAACTTTGCGACAAGCAGTAGCATTGTTTCAAACGAAATCCTACCCTGGTCGGTTTCCCGGCCATTCCGTCCCGAGTTGATCCGAAATCATTATTCAGAGTGGGTAACTGAAACTGTTAGGGACCGCCTATAGCTTTGTCGATAAAAGCGGGGTTGGGTTCGATTCGAATTTCCTAAACGTAAAGTTCCATTTGGGACGTAATAGCCAAAGGAGAAGATGCAGATGAAGATTGAACTGAAACCGAATCGGAAATGTTCAATCAATAGACGTTCTTGTTATCGTTGAGCTTGTTGGACTGGGACATGTCATAAGCATCAGAAGTAGAAACTACGTGTGTATGCAGTGCACAACAAAGGGAAAGTCGAGCTTTGGTCATTTCATTAGCCCCTAATCGTATTTCACTCGAGGACTCTCTCGGGCATCGAGCGGTAAAAACCGACAATTCCTTCATTTTCATTTCGAGTTGCAACAGAAAAATGTTTGTGCTGTCCCTATTCAAATGTGTTTATTACTTTGAGTTGTTGAACGCAGCAGGGATGTCAATGTAGATTAAAGTTGTGAAATGATGTGAACATTTGTTGATATTTGAGTCATCTGAGTTCTGATGAAAATCTGTGGAGTTTTTGCTTACCTGATCCAAGTTTGATGGAATGGCGAAAATGGAATGTGCGAAGGCCACCTGTTCCGATTGCCAATTTCGTCAAGACACTGGTTGTAAATGCTGTTGAGATGGAAGTATCTTACTGGATTTCGAAAGAAAAAGCACTTTCCATAATGTTCAAACCGGTGAAGGCAACGTTCAATACGAGCGAGTGTTACGATTAAGCGTTGGTGCTAGAGTAAAGGGCGAACACGAAATTATTGCGACACCGAAAATGTCATGCCAATTTTCTTATAATGTTTAGAATCAAACCAAAATTTTAGGGTAGTTTTATACATATATTTACTTCAAAAATCAAAAGAAAAGTTAATCGATGGAGCCTTGAGTGTAAAATTGAACGCATTTTCGCTTGATGCCCTCCATCAAAGTCTTTACAGTGTCATCCGGTACCAGTTTCTCAGTTTTTTTTTTTCCATTTTCTTAACATGTCCTTCTCGTCTTCGACTGTCTTCTTGCTCTTCCGAAGTTCCCGCTTCATTATTGCCCAGTACTGCTCCACCGGGTGCAGCTCCGGACAGTTTGGCGGATTCATGTCCTTTGGAACAAAATGGACAGAATTGGCCTCATACCACTCCAGGACACTTTTAGAATAGTGACATGATGCCAAATCTGGCCAAAATAGCGGAGCTTCGTCGTGCTGCTGCAAGAACGGCAAAAGGCGCTTCTCGAGGCACTCAGATTTGTAGATCTCGCCATTTACTGTGCCCTTTGTCACGAAAGGCTCACTCCTCAGTCCGCAAGAGCAGATGGCCTGCCAAATGAGATATTTGGAGGC